ATCCATTTATTTTGTTTTGGGATTTGTGCTAGCATGTGATTCATGTCAAGGGATATATCTCGAAGTTAGTCTTTATGTGTAGTACGAATCTCAAAGCAAAATCAAAGGTTAAAAAAGTTGGATAAGAGTTCCTATTAAGTTTATTCTATCTTTACTCCCCCCCCCCTCCTCCTATGTGTATATATGATGTATACGTGTGTTTGTGTAAATGGGGGCTCTGGTGTATTGCTGATGTGACATGCATCCGTACTACTACAGTGTTGGTGATCATTATGTCAAGAGTATATGAAGATCATGACAGCCTGGATGTGTTCCATGTCAGCATACACCAACCTAGAATGGGGAGGGATACACTGGCGCTGTATACTCAACACACAAGAATTAAATCTTGAGATTTGTTTGCAGCAGATTCAGTTTTCAGGAAGCTGACCATTTTACTTAGAGCATGTTTGGCAACTTTGGATTATAATCCACTTGGGTTATAGGCCACAAATGGCTTATAAGCTAAGTGGATTATAATCTAAAGTGTTTGCTAAATTTAATGGATGGTAATCCATTTCTAATGGTAGAGTGTTTGGTAAATTGAGTGGATGGTAATCCATTTCTAATGTTTGGTAAAAGAGTAGCTTATAATCCATCCTTGTTGTCAAAATGAACAAAAAGGGAGTTGCAGATAGAGAAAGAGGACTTTGGAATTTTCTTAAATGCTAAGGGGTGAAGTGGTCTTTTATTTGGTCACACTATGCGGCTTATAAGCCATCAAAAAATAAGTTGGGTTACCCCAGCTCATTTTTTTCTGGCTTATAAGCCTAAATAAACCGTTTGCCAAACATGTCTTAGTGGCTTATGAGCCACAAAAGTGACTTATAAGCCACTTTGACCAGTTGCTAAACATGATCTTATACCATTGCCACATTTTAGTCAACTCTTTCTCACTAATTCACGAGTAGCCAGTCAGGTCTAGGGATACTATTTATTCCAGTTGCTAGTTGCACGGTAAATATCATAATGTCTACAAGTTCTTGTTACAATTTCCAAGTGCTACCATCCAGAAATTCTCCAATTCAGTTTGATTCATGCTAGGAAGTTTCCTTTACAAACATAGCAATGTGTGACTTTTTAGACCAAAAAACGGAAATGCCCAAATTAACGAATAAATATTATCTGACTAATGCCCAACTACAAATATTTACTTATGGTTCCTGATGCATATTCCTTAAATAAATAGTTTGATTGTTATGCATAACTGTCTGCGCATAAAGTAATGGTCTCCTGTTAAGCTGTGTGTAGATATACACTGCCTTCTTAAGTTTGCATTAACTTGCAGGGTGTTTAGATGTTTTGGCACATTAATCAACAAATTCATTTCTGGAGCACTGAATTGCTTTAAACATTTGCGGGTAATGACCCTGCGTATATAATATTCAGGGAGGTTGTCACTTTGTATAATCTCACAACATATGTTATCCAGGTTTTAGGGAATGTGAGATCTTCTCTCTTGGATCTTTTCACCTTATTCTTTCATGTTTTTTTTTCTGTTGCATCCCTTTTGAGGGGTAAGGGTGTAACCATCACCCCTCAAAAGGGATCTTCTCTCTTGGATCTTTTCACCTTATTCTTTCATGTGTTTTTTTTATCTGTTGCATCCCTTTTGAGGGGTAAGGGTGTAACCATCACCCCTCAAAAGGGATCTTCTCTCCTGGATCTAGACTTGTGTGGCCTAGAGGCTTTGCTGTTACGGTGGCTCTGGAATTGAAAAAGGAATTGAAATTTGTTTCCTGGCATACTTTCTAGGTTTATTCCCCTGTGTTACGTGTGGGCCACTGTGGTGAGAAATAATTATATCTTGTCTCTGTAAGAGTACAAAATTATGACCCTCAATCCTTGTCAAAACTTCAACGTCTAGCTGCAGTCGAAGGGTTTTAGTATTGTATCCACACACCCTGGGTTCAATTTCCCAGCCACAGATTTAAAAGAGATTTAGAAAAAACATCGCTATGTAAGTCCAGATTTCAACCTGTAAAAAAGGAAAATCAACTTACAAGAACATGTTAGAATATAAGCCTTCGATTCTCATAACAACTTCAGAGTTTTGGGGTGGTGGAAGGGGCTTTAAGAGTATCTTTGAGGGAAAAAATGGAATGTTGCTCCATACTGTATCACGGACGTATTGAATGTTTTCTTGTTAACAGGCAAGTTCATCAAATGTAGCTTCTGAGAATGCTCGAGCACAAAAACGCAATTTACCATCTTCACCAGATAAAGCCACAAGACAGACAAATGAGATGAGAGCTGTTGGCTATAGTGGTTCTTCTTCCACCGAGGAGTCAGCACATGTCAAATCCACCACCAAGTTCTCTGATGCAGATGGAGTATGCTTGTAACTTCTGCTATTGACTTTCTTGAAAGAATAAAACAATGAGTATAAATCTTTTGTCTATGTTTATACAGATTGTATCGTCTTCAGCGGATAGTGCGGTTGTGAGGACAAAATCACAATCTTCATCATCATCGCCTAAGGCTCAGTCCAGGAAGAAGAAACCATCTAAAAAAAGTAAAGATAAAACGCACTCTCTGGAGTCTGGCAGCATTTCATCAAATGAGGTACCAGTCAGAAATTGCCTTGAGATTTTGCTCCAAATAATTCTGCATTGAGGGGGATATAAGCCTTTTACACTTTTCACCCCCTAATATTCTGTCAACAGTTGTAATTGGGTTAAGTGTTTTTACTTCTCCACCTGCTCTTTTCCTTGTACACAGAACCCCATGGTGGCATCAGATCATGAGAATCATGGATCTGAGGCAAAAGATTCACATCCTTTGACAGAGAAGAAGCTTACTGAGAAGGCTTTGCAAGGTGATGAGGCAATGCCTGTTGTCTTTGATTCTTCTTCTAAGATCTTGACTTTAAAGGGTGAGGTAGGTATCTGCATCAATGAGTTCTAATTGCTGTTACTCACTTGTTAGATCGCTGTTGATTTTCTGATACGTATTTTGATGATATTTGCATTAGCATGATTGATCTTTTATAAGGTAACTATTGGCTTCTGTGCAGAATCCAAAGCTGGGATCAGACATGGACACTGAGAATGGGAAAGCTCATAACCAGAATTCACCGACCTTGGCTGATGCAGGGTTTTCCCAGAAACTTCAAAAACAGACAACAAACAAGAGCAGGACAAAATCCAATGACACGTCATCTACCGATGAGTCAGCTACATTAACCCGTAATTTTGCTTCAAAGAGGTCCTCCTTTAGAGTTCCTGATCTTAAAGATGAGACACCATCAGTTGGGCGCAACGCTACATCTAGAAAGTCTTTTAAGTATGAGGTAATCTGTAAATCAAACTAATCAAACATGACAATGTTTTAGACCTTCAGAACCTTTCTATAGAAGTCACTTGAGGTACCTTATGTCTTTGCTTGGGTTGGGAAAAAGTATCCTATATAGGGTCCTCAGTGTTGCAGGTCTAGTTCAGTGACATGTGTCCCTGCAAAAACTTAAAGTTGGATAATTATTGACCATGTGTCAAGATTCTTTTACTCCCCAGTGTGAGGGTTAATTGCAGATAGACCCTCTGTAATTTGGTTATTGCAGATAGACCCCTGAGTGAAATTTTGACTCTTTAATCCTAAGAGAGAGAAAAAATGTTTTCTAACAAATAGACTTCCTGAGGGTAAAAGTTCTCTTGGGGATCTGTCCACAGTTAGGTGATGATGCAGGGGTTCCATCTGCGACAATAGAACTACTATGAGTCTATACACAATTGGGCAATAGTACAGAGGGTTTATCCACAATTAACCCTATGATTTTGTATAGAGAGGAACTCTCTATAAAAATTTAACTGCTGGATTGGGTCAGTTTGCATGTTGGGTTCATATAGTGTTGATGGAATTATGTTTTTACGTTAGGATTCAGCTACTTCATCATCAGCTTCAGCGCTAACGAGGCTGACAAACCGACTCAATTTTCTGAAGGAACGAAGGGTTCAGCTAGCAAAGGAGCTCCAAGACCTTGACGCAAACAACTCATCTGAACCTGCTCCTCTTCCGACCACTTCTCGCTGAGCTGGATGTTTCCTTTTGAAGGAATTTTGTGGAGATGCTCGCTTTGTGGAAGTCATGTAAAGTGCTAGATTTCTGATGTATTTCTTTGGCTACATTTTTCTGTAGGCTTGATGATGGTCTAGAACAAGGATGCATATCACAATGTTGAGCGAAGACCTCTGTTACTCTTTAGATGGCTGGTTATTTTCAGCGTGGAATTTTGAATTAGAAATGCTGGGAGTTCTCTTGCTGATTTTAGACTGGTTGGCAATAGATTTGATTCCTAAATCACCTCTGGCCATGTCAGAAGTTTTTGTATAAAATTGTTTTAACTACTATTTCAGTTGATAAAAATCATTTTATGCGCGACACTTTTCTCGTTATATGGTTCGAAGAATCAAACTGCTTGTAGATTCAACTGTGAGTGACGTTGTGAAGTCTATCAGTAATAGTTAGATGTTTCAATGGAAATGATGCGACTTTTTTTCCAGCTCAGTAGTAGTTAGATGTTTCAATAGAAATGATGCGACTTTTTTCCCAGCATAATTGGGCATGGTGATACAATTAGCATGTTGTTTCGCACTTGCTAAAAGAATAAATTTGCAGTATTTGCACACAGGAAAATATGGGTGTAGAGACAATTTATTTCCACGATTTGATATTTGATAAAGTTCACTGTTCTCATTTTGTGATAAATTATTTTGTGATAAATGAGTCGTTAGCTCATACTTTAAAAAAAATTTAAGGAGAACGCATATTTGGTTCTTGTGTTTGTTTCTTGTACGTTCATCCACATGAAACAGGAAACTCGTCTAGCTCCATTTGCTAGTTTCTCCTTTCTAAGTAGGATTTCTAGCTTTGGTTGAAATATGTCAATAGAAAACAGACCAGACCGCTTTCTCGACTCAAACGATAAAAGACGAGACTGATCAAGTCTCGGACCGAATTACTGATTACTGCAATGAACTGCATCCTCTTTCCCCCCAAAAAAAACCAATAACTTTGGCTTTTGTACAAGATTTAATCAGTTTGACATTTAAATAGCATGATGGAAATAATTATTCCCTTCAAAAGCTTTTCATGAAACATGTCAACCCAACAAAACAAAAATGGACACACAAATGAAACGTCTTAAGCTTCTCCCCAGAAGAACTGAAAAAACTGAAGCAGATTTGTCCGAGGATCCACAATCTAATCTAAAAAAACCAGAACAAATGGTTCGCCATAAACTACAAAAAGAACAAGCTTGGTAGCAGCATTCCGATGACTTGGATGAGGGATTTGCCAGAAAAATAGTATGGATCAAAACCAGAAACATCAGATGTAGAATTCGCTGAAGGAGCAAGGGATGTACCATTTCCGAACTTGCCATTCTTCCCACCGCTGCAAGGAGAAGACTCCAGTTATCTCAAAGTAATCAACTGACAGAAGCATCAACAATTTGATAAACCCTAGGATATAACTTCGTTTTGTTTGCATATTGTTTTCTTTTGCATTGCTTAATTATAAGTACATAATGGAAATAACTTTGACATGATCAAATTAGTCACGCAAATAAATACTACATGCATGACATATCGAAAAGAGGAACAATTATCAGAAAAAGTGTGTCCCCAGTTGTTGAGCTATACTACATGCATGACATATCGAAAAGAGGAACAATTATCAGAAAAAGTGTGTCCCCAGTTGTTGAGCTATACTCCTATAATGGTATTGCAAACCAAAGTTGCCTTTCTGGTGTTTCCTTTTTATTACATCTTCCATACCAAATAAAAACCATGCAAGTATTTTGAAGCTCATGTTGTCTATTACATACCGATCAAAAAGTTTATGATTTTCTTAGACTTTTAAAGAGGTCTTGCAAAATCAAAGAAAAATGTCCGAGTTTTAAAAAAAAAACCGAAGGAAATATTTCTACGTATATGCAGAAATAGGGAAAAACCAGTGTACATACCTTCCAGGGAATTTACATGGACCATGACCTGCAAAGCGGGAAAAAGGTAGGAGAATAGTTAAATTAACAACAGTCACCACAGAAATATCAAAGAACTTAAATATTTGCAATATTGTTGCCCCCAATGCTGTCCAGAAATACAAGGATTATGGATAGTGAACACATTGAAGGAGAAAAAGGGTGGAGGAAAAGTTAAATTAACAACTGCCACCACGTAGAAATATCAAAGATATTAAATATTTGCAAAATCGTTGCCCCCAGTGCTGCCCAGAAATAAAAGGATTATGGCGAGTTAACACATTGGAGGGTACGATAGAACACTCTCTTTACAACTCATGGTAGTTTAGTAATAAGACCTCAACTTTTACATGGTTGAAGTTTAATGGCTAATTCAACAAAATACAGTTACTGCCTGGAGCACTGATATATTATCTCCAAGATTTAATAAAGGTTTATAGTTAAGTAAAACAAAATCAAGGGTCTATTCGCAAAATTTTGCGATGTTCATGATATCGAACAACCTCTAAATATCGCTGTTAGTAAACAAAACTAAGAGTTAACTACTTCACACCATTTTACTTACTCGGATCAGTAGTAGTGATAGCAGCAACCCCATTAAAGTCACAAGTCCCCGCTCCCATTCCCATCTGATGATAATACGCATTAAAAGCATAAGTAGCATGAGCCTCCACCGTATCAGGATCATAGCAAGGCTGCCCCTGCAACAACTCCGAGCAATCAACCTTCCCAGGGCCACAAGCCCAATCCAACGCTGCCTGCAACATCTTCTCATCCACCCCATCCTTCGCTATACAATACGTGTTGTTCGTCGTATCATTCGCCAACACCATCCCCGACCCCATCAAATGCAGCGTATACACCGGGACCCCATTCGCATCAAACAAACCCCAAAATTTCTCAGATAAAGCTCCGGGCCTCAAATCCTCGTCATAGAGCTCGTAAATATATGTGTTCACTGCAATGCCGGGGTGTTTTGGTGTGCCCGTAGTATTGAGAACATGGCGTATAAGATTGCTATTGTAGGTATTGGCATTGTCCACGGTAGCATCAGGTTCATTTGAGTCACCTTTTCGTGGCCAACCGGACTCGAGTACAGTCACCGGGACATTGGTTATGTTCAAATAAGCCATGGCAAAGTATGCAGCATCGACAACTGCATCAAAGACATTTGTGTAGTGGAGAAGTGTGTTGGCGTCGACAGCCTCCTTGTTAGGTGGAAGAGGGCGGAAAAGGGCGTAATCCAAAGGGATAACACCATTCGATTGCATGTAGTCATAGTATGGGTACACATTGAGCATAAGGTATGAGCCAGTCGACTGGAGGAACTTGAGCATTGGGACTATGACTGGATCTAAGGACCGGTTGAAAAAGGCTTGGGAAGGAGGAAAGGAATCAAGGATGATAGAGGAAGAATGAGGAGTCGATACTTTGACTTGGCGGTCAAGATTTGCTGCGACAAGAGCAGAATGGATAAATTTGAGGGCGCTGACAAGTACAGGAGCAGCATTAGGGAGGGCAGTGAGGACTTCAGAGCCAACGGCGATGGCTGTTATGTTGACAGCTGGCACATGGGCGACTACATTTCGAGAAACCCAGTTGGCAGCTGTGGCGTTAGACTGGCCGATGCCCAGGAGCTGCTCATTAGGGACTGAGACAGTGACTCTTATGCCGCTGTTTGCAAATGCAGTTAGCATAGCAATATCTGCATCATAAAGACGAACGTGCTGAATCTGTTGTTTCTTAAGGAGTGCTACTACTTGGGTTGGTGATGGCATGTCCGATAGTGCAGTTCCGATGTTTACACCAATGAATGCACCTGCAACAGAAGTAATGAGATGTTAACATTGGCATGATGCAGATAAATAATAAACTAATTGCAGTCACTAAAATGTTTGTGTTTTATTTTGATATCACAGTTTTTTTAAAGGAAAACAGAAATGTTAAAACATGAAGGTCCATAAGATTGAACTCATGTGGTCTTGTTATAAAAACTATAAACAGATGAAAAGCTAGAGATCAGTAAGCTATATATGATAAATTCCTCAGTAATATGGGGCATTTTGGGCCCCCCTTAAGCCACATATTAGCTTAGTTAGATATTAATCGACGACAATCAAAGCAACACAGGAATGAACCTAAAGTCCAGTTCATAATTTAATCTAGCTGGAAAAGGAACACACCAGAGCATATTATACATATGTTATCTAGTATTATTCCAAGGGAATGCCTGTGGATTAAACATGTTTTCCATCTGGTCTGGTCCATTTAAAACAAACTAACCTACATTGTCAATTACTTCCTTCCGAATTCACTTGCTGAAACACGTACTCTTGTTTTTCTTTATACTAGGTTTTATGCAAGTGCAATGCACGTGATTAAATACCATGATTAAATATATTTGGTTTATTTCCTTACTTAAAAACTTGTTCCTCGGTTCCACTTTGATGATTTTTACTTACTTATATCTCTAAACTTTAGCATTGTAATTATTTATTTTCTTTAATGTTTATTTAAATAAAACTACACTCAATTTAAATTTTCTTATTGATAATTGAATTGACAAGAAATAAATATAATCCGAAATCAATTTGAATTATCATGTCACTGAGACTGACATGAAACCAAGCTTGACCTGAGAAAGTATGGCATTGCAAAAGTGAAAAATACTTCAAAAAATAGTGTTCTAAAAGGAAAATAAATAATTAAAGCTTATAAGACAAGATGATTGGTTACAATTGGCTAAAATGACACAAAAGATAATTTAGAGTTTGTTCCTAATCCTTAATAGAGTTAAAAAAAATCATAAACTTAAAGATTAATGCTAAATCTAGTACACTTTTATATAATAAAAGCATCAACATAAGCTTATAAAAGTACTAAAAAGTTTATGAAAATTCCTTCTAAAGATTCCTAATTTACTCAAAAAATCTATTCTATAAAATATTCAGAAAATAATGCATTTCATTCCTTTTATTTTATTTTTTATTAAAACGTTATCAATCCTTTTTCACCTTTATCTTTTTCGATAAAATCAGACTACTTTTAGATGCCAAAAAAGGATAGTAAAACCTTAAATTAAAAGTTAAATTTACATATCTTAATGAAAGAATATCAAACAACTACTCTTTTTATTTTTTGCTAAGTTTTAAAATTTTAGTCGCTTTTTCGTGATTTTGAATTTTTAAGGGTATGTGTTTTGCAAACTTTGAAACTTTAGGAGTGTTTTTAAAAAAATTTAAATTTTAAGTTGGGTGCTTGTAATTTCATGTTTCATGTGGTGGTAGTAAGTTTTCGAATGTAAGAATATTTCTTGCAACTCTGAATTTTGAGGGTATTTTTTATAATTATTAAAACTTTAAATTATTTGTTGTAAAATTTAAATTTTTAACGATCTGCTGATAATTTTGAGATTTGATATGTATTGGTTATAAGTTTTAAAATTTTAGGGTTTTCAGTCTTTTTTATTTTTCGAAAGAGTTTTTTATAATTTTATAACTTTAAGGTTATTTTTTACAAATTTTAATTTTTTAATGTCTGATGGTAATTCCTTGAATTCATCTTTGTTGATCGCAAGTTTTGCAATTTTAGAATTTCAGAGTGCTTTTTTACTATTTGAAATTTTGAGCGTGTTTTTTATATTTTTAAAATATTAAGGGTTTCATGTTTGTTGTTTTAAGTTTTGAAATGTCTGGACGTTTTGTGTAATTATAAACTTTTAAGGGTAGTTTTGTGCAATTTTAAAACTTTTTTGAGTTTTTTTGTAATACTTCATATATTGTAGCACATTAATTTTTAAATTATTGACGTGCAAGTTGTTCACATGAGATTAGGATAAGTTATAATTATGATTATAATAGATTAAAATTTAAATGAAATATTAAAAATAGTCAAGGGTAATTTTGACTATGTAAAGATTTTTCCGAACTCATACTTTTAAAGGGAGTATGATATACAAGTAGCAATGATCCAACTGATATATTTTGCTAACAATTTTGGTGAAATATTGTTACTCATCTTTCCATGCCGTCGAGAATAAGGCACAATCGAGAGTATTAACTAAAATGTGAATTCACTACATTATGAAAAACACTGGAGTATCCATTTGAGAATCCAAAATTGCCTTATTATTGCTTTCTTGTATTAGCAAGAATCAGCTTGGCCTCAAAATACTAAATAGTTACTACAAGCTCTCACCTCTCTCTATCTCTCCTCTATAAACAAGTGCCCCTGGGCACCCATTAGGGGGGGGGGAATCAATATGGTAACAATTTTTTAAATAGTTGCCCAAAGGCACTCGTTAGCAGAAGAGAGATAAAAAAATGTGAAAGAGAAGAAAGAAACTATGAAACATTGAGTCCACAAGTCCTCAAATCTCTCTCTCTCTCCATAATCTATTAACAGGTGCTTAGAAAATTCGTTTAATTTTTCTAAGAGTAGTTCCAATTAATAGAGGAGAACAATAGATAGAGATGGAAGAGGGGAGAGAACAATTGTGGGATATGGAAGCCACAAGTCTTCTCCTCTCTCCATCTCTCTCCTCTTTTACACCCTTTGAGAGAAGGGAAATGCTTACTATACTACAAAAAGTGGTACTACTCTTGAACCATGTAATATCTCTGTCCTCTTTTACGCCCATTGAGAAAAGGAAAATGCTTACTCCAAAAGTTGTACTACTCTTGATTTATGTATTACAGAAGAAGTGGGATTCCCACAAGTCTTCTCCTCTCTCTATCTCTCGCCTCTTTTACGCCGGAAAATGGTGATTAGACTACAAGAGTTGTACTACTCTTGTACCAATTGGCATAGCAAAGTGAACTTCATGAAACTCATAATTTCTAATGAAACAAGTTAAGTCTCACATTTTTGTTTCCAATAATACAATAGCAGTACAATTCTTAAAAGTAAAGTTATCATTGCTCTTTGAAATTTTTCTAGCATAAAAATCATCTAGCAGCCGCTTAATGAACGAGAACACTGGATAAGCTTCCCTTCTTAAGCAAGACCCAAGTATAAAAAGGGGGCATTTTGCAAAAATATAGATTGTGCGGGGCCAACACGGTGATATGGTGCACCCCTTTTAAATGTCATTATCAGAAGTCGGGTACCAAAAGGGACCCAATTAAATGAAAACCTAAAGCACAAGAATGTCCAAGGGCATTTCGGTAAAACATTGTCCAGTCCACTCAACTTTGAAACACTGCTATAAAACGCCAACCGACTTACTGACGCACCCATATCAGACAGCACTCAGCGCCTCACCCAACTTCGGTGTTTCGATGTGAGGTATTATTTGACCACAAATCACTGAGTTCAGCGAAACAGTGGGCGCGCTAAAACGAGCCTTAGATATAAAGCTAACCAACGTAACCCCCAACATTACTAAAAGCAGGACGAGGTCCAACAGTACAAAAAGTGGGCCCAGCCTAGCAAGTAGGTGAAAAACTGGGTGCGAGAACAACAAAATACAGGGACTAGGACATTCTACTTAGCTGGAAACCAGAGCATGAGCATCTGAACCTAGAACCTGTTACAGAGGCTTGAGAGAGAGAGAGAGAGAGAGAGAGAGTGTGTGTGTGTGTTCGTCTTTAAACAAACCCATCAAAATAATTCCATCCAGATTTTAAAGAAATCATCACAAAATCACCATTAAAAGAATATAAAAGTACTAAGGTAAGAAAATTGAAAGAAGAGAAAGAAAACGCACCGTCATCAGCTGCAGAGGCCACTGAGACCATGAGCAGCAGCAGAACCAGCAAACTCATTGAAAACCTAGAGACCTCTATCTCTCTCTCCCCAAAGAAATCAAAAGAAAAAACTCGAAAAATGAATAAAATTGTTGCTAGAGGGGAAAAAATAGACAAGAAGAAGCTCTAGTGCGAGCTCGAAGTGAGCTGGAGAAGGGAAAGCGAAAGAACAAAAACTAGAGAAGGAATATCGAAAAGCAAATGCTTTAATTTATAGAAGCGGGGCTTGTCCTTTTCTAAACAAAATAGATCAGATCTGAATCAGCACATTCAACGGCTGAGATTAATCGATAATGGCGGTGGCGGATAAAACAGCTATAAAATCCGGGAAAAGTTCGGGTTCCAGTAGCCGTTTGAGGTTGGAGTGTGAGCGAGCGTGAGCCGGAGTTTCGAGCAGCGGGTCTCGGGAAAGCTTTTCAGGCTGCGCTAAGCCCAAGGGCGTCCTTGGATGACGTGGCGGAAGGCCAGCTGGATTCAACAACGGTCATTTTTCGAAGCGGGGCACTCTTGTCCTGTTCTTTTTAGTTTTTTATCGACTTCATTTATTAGTTTTATCTAGCTTTTCGGTCTTTTTCGAGAAGTGGGGTGCGGATTTAGTGCTTACTACTAGGGTTGAGCATGGTTCGGTCCAAACTGAAAAAACCGATCGAACCGATCAAACCGATCCGAACCGACTCGGAAAAATCGGTTTTATGAGTAGGGTGGTTCGGATCGGTTTGAAAACTTTTCAACCCGAACCGACCCGAACCGATCGAATATAATGTAATACTACCAATTTTGATCTCAAACTCTACCCGATCCGTCCCCAAAGAGTCAAAGACTCAAACCCTAAACTTATTTTCTGAATCATTATGGGTTAAAAACAATATCATTATATCAGTGTTTAATGCTTCATAATCTCCTACTTTGTTGATATTTTTTTTTCTTTAATACAGTTTGTTATTTGATAAGAAGTTTGATGAAGTTAGAACCGAACAAACCGAACCGAACCGCACCGAACCGACTTGCAATAGTTTGGTTCGGTTTTGAATTATAGACGGTTCGGTTCGGTTGTTCAAATTTTGGTAAAAACCGAACCGAACCGACCGTTGCACACCACTATTCGTCACAGTTGCTAGTTCTTTTAACCGAGGATCCAAAATCGGCAAAATGACTAAATTGATATATTTTGTTTATCCATAGTGATAGGTTGGCATATAATTTTTTTACGGTATCACATTGGTATATTTTCTAAACTCCGGCGACAAATAGGCCTTAAGTTTAGTCGGATCCAATTTTTCGGCTATTTTTCTCACGCGACGGCTCACGTGACTCTAACGTGGCCGCAATGTGGACTCCAACGTGGCTGGGGTTAGCGGGAAGGAGTTGAGGGGGTTTTGTAAAAAAAAACAGATCCCTCTCTTCCCCTTGAGCGTGAGAGCGTGATCATCCCCAAATTGCAGACAATCTAAGTGAATATCTTTCATCTATATTGAGGTCGAAGAGGTTATTAGGGTTATTTCATCGTCTTTGGCGCGACGAAAAAGGTGAGTGCAAATTTTCTATTTTTGAAACTAATTTCAGTAATTAGATGGTCATTAAGGACGACTAGGGTTAGTTGATGGGTTGAAATTCATGGTTTAGTGTAAATTAGTATTTTTTATTGTGATATTGCAGGTGAGTGTAAAAATCATGGTTAAAATCAGACATGGAGGAAATTTCCCTCTTAGCTGGGTGGAAGATTATGTTGGTGGTAGACTTGATGTCACTACTACTAATATCACTTTTATGGGTGATAAGGCAAATGTGCATGTGCAACAAGCGACCACTCCTAAAAAGAAGGTGACCAATGAGACTAGTAGGACGACACAAACACCTAGGAAAGTAACACTCAAGAGGAAGGCAAACAATCCTTCAACTTTCAGGAAGAAACTAACACCCAGGAGGTTACAGACCAATCCTTAAACTTCTAGTGAAACTCTGCCACAACAAACAAGTGCTTAAGCCTCTTTAGATGAAATGTTAAGTGCACAACAACAGTCAAGTTCATCTAGTGATAGTGACGACTTTGTGGAGGATGAGAATTACAGAATTGATCCTAGGGAGACAATGAATGATGATGACTTTGATGAAGATGATCTTTTTGATGAGTTTGGCAATAATGGCAAGAGGAAAAAAAAGAAAATTGTGCAAGAGAAAGAAGACTGGTGGCTCTAACTTTGAAGTTCAGTTTAGAAATGTTGATGTTTTGCCCAACGTGCCCAATGTGGAGGGCAATGATAGTGTGCATGAACCAAATAATAAAGCTAGAAAGGCAGTGAATGAGGATGACGGTGCCCACAGTGATGATTCCTTTCAAGCTGTAGTGAAGATGAGGAATTGAATGAGACTAGGCAATGCAATAAGGAGATTTTAAGTCAAGAGATGAGCAACATTGCTTTAACCTCTGGTGCAGTATTAGGAGAGGGTGTTGATACATTCAACTCCATGAGTTTTAACACTGTTAGACCACCTCGAGTGGTTAATGCTAATGTATCAACATCACCTCATTAGAAATTACATTCAAGAGCTGACAACACGGATAACGTTCCAAGGCCATCAACCACTGATCATCCCGAATCATAGCCAAATTATTGGACAACCTATGATGGTGGATATGAATCAGATCCTAGAGCAAGTGGTGATGAAGGTCCCATAATGGCAAGTGATGAGGAGGAAACTCTTGTCCAAAGATTCCCAAAAAAGGTAGCAAAGGTCAAGAATGTCTTTTTTAATGAAGAAGTTGATATGAAAAATGTTAAGTTGACAGTAGGATTAAAGTTCACGTGAAAGGAAATTTAAAAGAAGCTATATTGAATTACTCCATACAAGAACACTATGACATGGTTTATGAAAAAAATGATAAGAGACAGTTGAATACAAGCGTGGGATGTTGTGGAGGGTGAAATTAGGAGCTACTGGGAATGGTTTATAAGAATCATATTTAATGATCTCGACATGGGAGAGGAAGAAGGATGGACTGTCATTTCAGACCAACAAAAGGTATTTCTAATTTCATGATATATTTAATTGAATCTCTATTTGTTATATGTCTAACTAGTGTGCATTTTTTTTGTGTTTAACTAGGGTTTAGTTCCAGCTATACGTGAAGTTTGGCCCCAAGTGGAGCATAGGCAATGTGCAAGACACATTTATTTCAATTGGAAGAACTCTTCAAAAATAATTTTGATATTGTGTGAAGACAACCTCCATGGGGGATTTTGCAAGAGAGGCTGCCAAATTGAAAGATTACTCTGAAAGGGCATATGACAACTTCAAGGTAAGGAATCCTCACACCTTTTGTAAGTCACATTTTAAATGCCATAGCCAATGTGACAGTGTTGACAACAATATGGCTGAAACCTTCAATTCATTCATCCTTCTTGCAAGATACAAACCAATAATTTCTATGCTAGAAAACATTAGACTTACTTTGATGGATAGGATGCAAGTAAAGAGGAAGTTGATGAAGCAATTTGTGGGTGGGATTACCCTTAGAATAAGCAAGAAAATCAAAGAGGCTTATCAAGAACAATTACACTGTCAAACACATTGGCTTGGAATGAATGACTATAGTGGATTTGAGATACATCATAAAGGGATTGGTCATGAGGTCAATTTGGGTGAAAAACCCTGTTCTTGAAGGGTTTGGGACTTGACTGGAATTTCATGTCTTGATGCCATTAGTGCAATATTGTTCATGAGAAAGACTCCATAAGATTTTGTTGCTCATTGGTACAAAAGTGAAGCTTACAACATGCTTATGAGAGCTTGTTAAACCTTGTGTAAGGTTGTAGATTTTGGAACCTTCAATAGGCGGAATCTGTGTTGCCTCCTCACAATATTAGGAGGAATATAGATAGGCCCAAACAAGCTAGAACGAGGGACCCTTCATAAGGTCCAAGAAATCCATTTAAGGCATCAAGGCAAGGAGTGACAATGAGATGTACCCATTGTGAATCAAGTGAATATATACGGAGAATGTGCCTCACTGCACCACCAAGGTAACAAGCTACACAAGTAAGCTTAATTTTATGCAATTGTATTTAATTTAATAAACAACTTATAATTATCTGAGCCATCTTGTAGGAATCACAAGGAACAAGAGTTGATGAAAGACCATATCAAGTGAGGGAAAAGGGGAGACCAAAGGGAAGAATGAACAAAATTAGAGGTGGTGACATGCCTCAAAGCAATGCTCCAACTCCATCATCCATTATCCTTGGAAGAAGAAGCAAAGCTCCAACAACTAGCGCTGAGGCAGGAAGAGATAGAGGAGGGAGAGGGAGAGGGGGTGTTGTAGGATCTGCGGAAGCACACGCTAAACACTAGAGCAGGGGTGAGTAGTGTTGATTTAAAAAATTTTGCAAGATGAGTTATAAATTGCAAGAACAATAACAACAATCTCATAAATTTAACAATCACAAACAAGAGCTTTTATACTGGTTCCACCACCCCGGGTGTACATCCAGTCCCCAAGCAAATCCCGCTTGAGATTTTCACTATGATTTTGAAAACTATTACAAAATCAAACCAAACCTAACCAATTTGTAAGTCCCTGCAAATTACAAACAATCTCTAAACCAAGAGATCTTCTCTCACACCCGAGAGAAATCTTTCTTTGAAGAAAGAACAAAAATTCCTATAAGCCTTGAAGTGTTAGTAAAGTATAGCAGTGACTTAGGAACTTTTTCACTCTCTGAATAATGCCTAAATAAGCTTTTAGAATAATGAGAACAAAGACACTTTTAGAACTTTTCTTTTCTCAACACTTAGAATGAAAATTTGAATCAAGAACACTTGAAAAAGTGAATCTAAGGTGACACATTAGGCTCCCACCTAAGGACGCGGCCTAAAATCACATCATTTCCTAAAATTTTTTACGATCCGCTCCGTTGAACTTGATCTACACGTTCTTAAACCCGAACACACCAATTTTGGGGTGAACCCATCGTGTTTTGACTCTTTATCCACTCGTTACAATTTTAACGGTTTCGAATGAATAGACTTTTTGCACGGCTCAACGAATGGTCAAAACACAACGGGTTCACCCCAAAATTGGTGTGTTTGGGTTTAAGAACGTGTAGATCAAGTTTAACGGAGCGGATCGTAAAAAAAATTTAGGAAATGATGTGATTCTAGGCCGCGTCCTTAGGTGGGAGCCTAGGGTGTCACCTTAGATTCA